ACATCATTTTTGATAAATTGTGAAATGTGTGTAGCATGTACTTGACATATTTCATTCCTCTGCGTACCACTAGAAGGAAGCCTGCGTACCACTAGTGGTACACGTACCACAGTTTGAGAACCACTGTGTTATACTGTACAAAAGATTTACCCTCACTGGCCACTTTATTAGGTACACCTCTCCAACTGCTCATTCATTCATTTCTTTTTTTTTTTCCATAATATTTTTATTTTTCGTTTTCAGTTTGTACACATTGAAATACAACATTTTACAAACATTTTACAACAATAATAACCTTGTTGCATTTACAAATTATGCAAAATATAAGGATATATATATATATTTATAATAAAAACTAAAAGCAAACAACAAAAAAGCGAGCAAACAAACAACAAAAATAAATAAATAAAAATTAAACTGCTCTTTTTTTTTCAATAATGGTAATCTATTCAAACATGACAATTATAATCATACTGAGTACTAGGCACAGCAAATATATATTAAATAATGTATTAATGCAAAACTATAAAGCTGGAACTGCATTATCCATCAAAAATCATTCATCAACTTCTTCCAATTCAACCTCTTTGATATAACTAATGAAAGGACTCCATATGTTTTCAAATACACGTTGTTTAGCTTTTGGTATACAAGTGATATTTTCTAATGGCAGACTTGACAACATTTGTCTTATCCATTGAGTAGCGTTTTTGCATCTTTGACCATAGCAAAGCTACACATCCTTTGGCATAAAGCAAGCTGAGGTCTATAAATACTTGTTTGCTTCTACTATAGTTTAAGTCCTCTGGGTATAAACCTAGCAAAAAAAGCTTTGGGTCGAGGAGGATTTGTTTTGAAATAATTTTTTTACATATAACTCTCACCTCTTCCTAAAATAATTTAATTTTAGTGCACTGCCAAATACAGTGAAACAAGATTCCTCTAGCTTCCAAACATTTTGTACATATATCTGGAATGTTTTTATTGTATTTATTTAATTGTACTGGTGTTACATATGTCTGCATGATCCATTTATATTGTATCATTCATTCATTTCATTTTTTTTTTTCATCTTAGTCCCTTTATTAATCCGGGGTCGCCACAGTGGAATGAACCGCCAACTTATTCAGCGCATATTTTAAGCAGGGGATGCCCTTCCAGCCGCAACCCATCACTGGGAAACATTCCTACACTCTCAGAACATGCAAACTTCACACAGAAATGCCAACTGACCCAGCTGAACGTGCTACCCACTGCACCACCACGTCGCCTCCAACTGCTCATTAACAAATTTCTGAGTAATGTTGCTGACCATGTCCATCCCTTTATGAGCACAGTGTACTCATCTTCTGATGGTTGCTTCCAGCAGGATAACACACCATGTCAAAGCGTGAATCCTCTCAGACTGACTTTTTGAACATGACAATGAGTTCACTGTACTCAAATGGCCTCCACAGTCACCAGATCTCAATCCAATAGAGCAGATTTGTGGAACGGGAGATTGGCATCATGCATGTGCAGCCGACAAATCTGCAGCAACTGTGTGATGCTATCATATCAATATGGAGCAAAATCTCTGAGGAATATTTCTAGCACCTTGTTGAATCTACGCCACAAAGGATTAAGGCAGTTCTGAAGGCAAAAGTGGGTCCAACCTGGTGCTAGTAAGGTGTACCTAATAAAGTGGCCGCTGAGTGTATTTTCCATCTCTACAAAAGCATTGAAGACTAAAACCGAAGCCAATAAAACTCCATCAATAACACAATACACAAAAATAACTTTAGGCAAATATGAAAACATTTAATAACATTTACACACAATAAAATGCATAGACAACAATAGATCATTAGATATAGAAGAATAACCAGTAAGAATTGCCCATTTAATTTCAGTAATTTAGAAGAGCACTAATGTTATGGGGAAAGTAATCATGTTTTATTTTGTTTTTTTGCATTGCAAAGATTATTGGGCTCTCAATGCAATATTCCAGCTGAAGTGGTCAGAGCAGATTTGCGCTGTTGTTGTTTTTTGTTCACTGAAGATATTTGTCTTTTAGGCACCAAAGAAAATGCTTTTGCTGAAAGATATTGTCGGATCAAAAACATTCTTGGTGAAGCCACAAAAATGTTGGATATGCAGGTTCATAAATTATTAGAGGACTCAAACCATATTAAAAATCTCAGAATTTGATATTAATAACCAAATATATGGGACACTGGGCTAACTTTATTTGTCTTACCCAGTTCAGTGCATTGCTCAATGCTTTTATCTGTTCCAATGTTACTTTTAGTGGATGTGTGAAGTTCATGTAAATGTTATATGTGGATATCCATTTTGAACATATAGAGAATAATCTTTACTGCTTTAGAATTTTAAAAAATGCCATTAATATTATCAGTGATTTTCAACTATTTAATTCTGAATTATACAGACATTTTTGTTGCATTTCTAGATGTGCCCAGTGCTATTTTAGTATTTTCAGAGAGTTTATTAATAGTAGTAACTTTTCCACTTGAGATAAATTTGTTTACGCCATTTTCGTTCACTTAATACAGCAAATTTGATGAAGTTTGGCAAAAAGACAGATGATATATAAATCATATAAGATACAAAAATACAAAAATTAACTAAAGCTCTGTGCCCAACTAAGAATTAATCTTACATCTATTATTATTATTACTACATCTAATTTGTTGATTATTAAGCTATTTTTAAGATATAATCACAACCAAAAATGAGCACTTACTCTTGAAAATTTTATGCTTTTTTACTTCTGTTAAACACAAGAGAAGATATTTAGAAGAATGTTGAAAACCGGTAACAATTGACTCCCATAGTAGGAAATAAATAAATTACTGTGGAAGCCAATGGTTACCGGCTTCATTTGAGTTCAACAGAATAAAAAAAAAATCTCAAACTGTTTTGGAATAGGTGAAGGGTTAGTAAATGATGACAGAAGTTTTATTTTTTTAGTGAACTACCTCTTTAAAAATTAAAACCTGCTGCCATACGCAAATATTTCTGCCATCTTCTGGCCATTTATTGCATAACATCAAAATCTATGCCAATTTACTAAATGAAGAGAAACACAAACACACTAGTTTGAGTTAGGTGAGTTTATTATGCAAGTATTAAATAAACAGTTTTATATTTTACTAACTATTAAAGTTGCAATACAAATAATTATTCTGCGGTCTTTCGGTGATTTATTGAATACCAACAAAAACCCAATTTATTAAATAAAAGTGTCAATGAAACACAAACACACCAACCTAACAATTCACTTCCTAAAGTAGAATCAATCCTCTAGATTCTCTCTCATTTAAACTGAAATGTATAGAATTGAAATTGGTTTGAAACTGACCTAATTAAAATTTTTGAGTGAACTAACCCTTTAATAATTAAAACCTGCTGCCGGATTCAATATTATTCTGCCATCTTCTGTTCATTTATTGCATAACATTAAAAATTAACACCAATTAACTGAATTATATAAATATAAATCTCATACAAATCTGAAATGTAATGCATTTATGTATTTTCAGGAATTATTATGGAGCCTAAAATGTGAGTTTATAATTATTTAATTAATGGACTATTTTAAAATATATGTTTTTTTGATATACTCAAATAAATAAAAACTTTTAGCCTAAATCACTATTAAAGATACCAAAATAAATAATAATAATAATAATAATAATAAAAATCAACAGATTAAAAAAAGTTTTCAAACTATCTCATATAAATTTGGAAAAAAATAAATAAATAAACAATAATAATAATAAATAAATAAATATATATATATATATACACACACACACACACACACACATATACTGTACATACAAGTGGGTAAATGTAAATAAAAATATTTTATGATTTTTTTTTCATATCTTAAGTATTTTTTTAATGACATATTCAAGTAAATAAAAATGGTTTTAGTTTTAGTTAACTATAAAATTTACCATACAAATAAAGAAAAGCAGCAGAATAGTAATAAAAGTATTTTTAACATACTTGTAATTTTTGGTTAACTATCCCTTTAATAATTAAAACCTGCTGCCGTATGCTGCTGGCATAACATCAAAATTAACAGAAACACAAACACATTAAACCATCAAGTACTTTCCTGAAATGGAATCAATCCTCTAGTTTCCCACTCATTTAAATCTGAAATAAATAAATGGATAAATACATACATATAAATACAGTATATATATATATATATATATATATATATATATATATATATATATATATATATATATATATATATATATGTATAATTAATGTATTTTCAGGAATTATTAGAGCCTAAAAGGTGGGTTTATTATCATTTAATGACCAGTAAATGTACATGGCAGTTTTTTTTTTAAATATAAATTTGGATGATATATTAAAATAAATAAAAACGATTAAAGTTTTAATCAATATTAAAGCTGGCATAATTATAAAAAAAATCTAAATAATATTAAAAAATATATATATAACTGGTTTGAAAATTACCTTATTGATTTTTTCGAGTGAACAAACCCTTTAATAATTAAATCCTGCTGCAATACTCTATATTATTCTGCCATCTACTGGCCATTTATTATATCAACATTTACTGAATCAACAGAAACGCAAACGCACCAAACAACTCAGTTCCTAAAGTGGATTCAATCCTCTAGTTTTTCACTCGTATAAATCTGAAATGTAATATATTTATGCATTTTCAGAAATTATTATGAAGCCCAGCAGCTAAATTTATGTAAGTTAATGATGAGCAAAATACAAGATTCATATATATATATATATATATATATATAAATATATATATATATATATATATCCAAAAATATATATAAATGGCTTAATTTTTTATTACCTATTAAAATTGGTACAGTAAAATAAAAAATGAATAATTAAAAAAACTTGTAGGAAAATGATATAATTTTAATCATTTTATTAAAGAGTGAACTAACCCTTTAATAAATAAAACCTCCTGCCATACTCAATATTATTCTGCCATCTACTGGCCATTTATTGCATAACATCAACATTAACAAAAATACAAATACACCAACAAGTCCCTTCCTAAAGTGGAATCAATCCTCTAGTTTCCCTCTCGTATAAATCTGGAATAATCCCGACAGGTGAGTCGATCATCCTGACAGTGTTTCTCCCGTGTATTGATAACTCAAACTCCACGAGCTGACTCCAGAAGCCATTGTTTGGCCTGATGATTGGTCTTTTAGCTTTGAGCATCTGATGAGCTTCTCTGAGCGTCAGGCGGTGGTGTTTGATCAGAAACGCCAAGCACAGAGACGCCGAGCGACTCACTCCTGCATTACAGTGAAGCAGCACACGGCCGCGCTCCTCGCTCACCTGCTGGATCTTATCAGAAACACTGTGGAAATACTCACTCAGTCTGCAGCTGGGGTCATCGGGGACGGGGATCTGCATGTAGTGTGCTGACGGCAGGTGTGTGTCGCTGCTGTGTGTGTTCTGGGTGGAGTTGATGATGCAGGTGATGTGGAGAGACTGGAGGATGCGGGAGTCGCTCGCCGTCTTGCTGGTGCCGATGAACAGATGATCTGTGACCTGAGCAAAGCCGCCGAGACTGGAGGAGCTTCCTGATGACATCCTGCCAAGACTGGGGAAATAAGACAATCATAAACACTCAAAATCATATGCTGTTATGATATGAATGGTTACAGGGATGTTGCTAAACTGTCCGAACAGATGGATCGACGGATAAAGGATGGCTGGATGAATAATTGACGATTAAAGGATGAATGGATAAAGAATGGATGAACGATAAAAGATGAAGGAATAAAGGATGAATGGATAGAAGATGGATAAACTGATGGATGGATGGATGGATGGATGGATAAAGGATGAATAAATAAAGGATGGATGGATGGATGGATGGATGGATGGATGGATGGATGGATGGATGGATGGATGGATGGATTGATTGATGGATGGATAAAAGATAAATAAATAAAGGATGGATGGAAAAGGGATAAATGGATGGATGGATAAAGGATGAATAAACAAAGGATGGATAGATGGAAAAGGGATAGATGGATGGATGAATGGATAAAGGATGAATAAACAAAGGATGGATGCATGGAAAAGGGATAGATGGATGGATGGATAAAAGAAGGATGAAAGGATAGATAAAGAAAGGATGGGTGGATAAAAGAAGTATGGATAAATGATGGATAGATGGTGGATGGATGAATAGAAAGATAAAGAATGAATAGATAAAGGATGAATGGATGGGTGGATAAAAGAAAGATGGATAAAGGATGGATAGATGGGTGGATGGATGGATGGATGATAGGTAAATATAGATAATTGACCGATTGATGGATGGATAATGAATGGATGGGTGTGTAAAAGGATGGATAAAGAACAGATAGATAGATAGATAGATAGATAGATAGATAGATAGATAGATAGATAGATAGATAGATAGAAAAATGGATGGATAGAGAGACAGAAAGCCAATGTTTTGGATCGACAAAACTACAATATGATCAAATTACTGCAATATTATCTTTATGCTCTAATTACCATCAATTTGAGCACTGAAAAAAGTAACGTGATAACTAACTTTTAGATTACAAGTGAACAAACTGAATAACGTTTTACTCTTTAAATTAACACTTCAGCAAAGTTCAAGTCTATAAAGCACAGATTTATAACTATTAATGCTGTTAATTATGAAAACTGAACGACCAGGAGGAGCGTCACAATCCTGCATCCACACGAGAAATATATTGTTTGTGTAGTTTATCGTCTAAATCCGCCAAACGACAGTTTATGTACAAATACTTTGCGACTCATTTTAACAGAATACTGTTCAACCGTGACTTAAGCGCTTATAAACAGGGTATAACTACAAAATAGAGTTAAAACAATGTAATATTGTCACTCACTTGTACGCAGCCGTCAGTTGAAGAACTCTTCTTCTGATACTAAAGGCGGCTGCAACACTAGTGCGCGCACACAGCGCCTCCTGCCGTTACCAAGAGAAATAGACACTGCAATACAATCGCAAGCTCTCTCTATTATTTGGTATATTGCATAAAATTGTAGACAAACATGCTTTTGTGATAGTAATAAGTCAGTATTGCAGTTAACGTCATTTTTAGTGTATTAAACTGCAAGTTTTTCATAACAAATGATTATTTACAGTAAAGCATAATGACAGCTGCAATAAAAAATGACATAAATATAGAATTAATTGTACCATAAATGTTTCTCTGTGCATTTAAGTGCACAATATTACATGTACTTAGCATCATGTTTGTTAAGAAACACTCAGATTTGCGCATGGTAACACTTTATCTTGATGGTCCATTTGAGTATTAGTAGACTGTCTGCTTAATATCTGTTGATAGTGCTCCTTTAGCAGACATTTAACTAACGTTGCAAGTACATGTCAACTTACACTAACCCCAACCTAACAGTCTACTTATAATCTAATGAGAACTAGTTTGCATGTAGATGCAAAGTAACTTAAATTCAACAAACGGGCCATCAAAATAAAGTGTGACCAATCACATTTAGGCTATATATTTTCACAGTATACACTTGATTAAACTTAACATTCATCTGTAGAGTGTCCAAAATAGCACAGAGCTCATATTTAAAGACATTTATTGACACTTGTACGTTAGATAAACAGGTCTGTTGAACGTTTAATTCGGGTTGGCTGTCGAAGACTCTAATTTGACATGACTTAAGAAGTTAATCTGATTTAACTGAGAGCTTTACGGGGACCTAATATACACAAGATGTGAAATAAGTCTCTGATGGCCCTAGAGTGTGAAGTTTCAGCTCAAAATACCCTATAAATAATGTTTTAAAAATGGCTCATTTAATGCTGTGTTCACACCAGACGTGACACGTGCGAATAGACGCGTGAACATTTTGAGTTTACTTATTCGTGCGTCAAATTCACTTCACAATATATGCGGATTCGCGTAATGGGCAGGGCTTCTGTCTGCCCGGTGACTTTAGCTTCATTGCTAAATGGCTAACATGGCTTTTATTGAGAGAATAGCTGTGTTTATGTGCTTTAGGAACAGTGTAGATTCGTTCGGCATTGTGTCCGAGTCCACTAGATCCATTCAGAGGTGCACCAAGCTCATCAACTGCTCCAGAAACTGTAACTGTATAATGGAAGTTTCCAGCAATGCTTCCGACTATGCTGAGCCCAGTCTGATGAGCTGTTGTCCAGTGTTGGCAGGAGGATTTCCCCACCATCTGCAGGTGCTACGTCATAATCCCCCCCCCCTGCAAGAGAAAGCTTGTGATTGGTTAACACGGCGCGAATGTCCGCTGAACTTCAGATTTTCAACTTGAGTACAATTGTGAAAGGCATCAAACATGAAAAACGCTCAACTCGCGCTGATTCATTTGTGCAAATCGTGTCATTAGCGCCGCCTAATTCACGCGTATTGCGCCACAGGATGTATATTCGTGTCTTTGTATTGATTTAACATAAATCACTGGCGCTTGGCGCTTCATCTGTGTCTGGCGTGAACGCAGTATTAGGCTTAATCCAAATTGTGTTCTTTAGGCGACTGTCGCTTTAAATGCAAATGAGATTTTCAAAAGAGGGCGGAGCTACAAAACGCCTGTGCATCAGCATAGAGGCAGATTCAAAAAAGGACTAATATTATCTCTGTGAAAACTGAAAATGTAAACAGAAGAAAACTCTAATGGCGGACGGCTGCTTCTCACTCAGGGCTGCTGTTTATGCTGAGGATGGTCACTAGTAGGCGGGGCTTTTCCACTCCCATGACACGTGCAAAGGGAGAATGTCATTCAAAGTGTTTCTGTAGACTGTTTTTATAAATTGTATTCTATTATTCTATAAAAAATAGAATTAATTAATTAATTAACGCTTTCAGGGCGTGTCAGAACGCATTTTTGCTAATTTAAGGACGGGAAATCTGCCTTGCGCCGCGGCGCATGTTCTAAAAGGGTTGAGTTTATTTTCTTAATGAGTTATAGGTGTGTTTTAAGAATAAACCAATTAGAGCCTCATCTCCCATTCCCTTTAAGAGTCAGCTGCGTCGCGCCATAAGCGCATTCGCTATTTACAGGAAGCAAAGTAAGTCTAAGTGGAAAAACTGAGCATTTCACAAGCAAACAGTTAACAGTTTTTTAACAGGAAACTGTTAAACAGAGCATCTACTGCGTGAGAATGAGAGATAAATGATCTACTTTCACTTTCGCTCTTGGAAAGGGAAACCTTTACGCACAGACATCAATTAGCCTATAAATAATTAATTTTGTTTGTTAAGCGAAAATATTCGTTTCAAAACTATTTCTAAATTCAGTTCTAATTTCCAGCAAACGAATAAATGAACAATAATAACAAAATGTGCTCAAAAACCTGAGTTATATCCTAAAACACATGCTGTGCCCCATATGGTCTAAAACCTGACAGGTGGACAAATCTAAGCTTGTTTTTAATAAAACAAATATAAATATGGATATAATAAATAATACTGCTAATAATAATAACATTATACAAAAGCAAATTGTTATGAATGAACTGAAAAAGCCTCCCGAGATGAAGAAGACATAAAAGCAGTGATTTTTCATATTTATAGGCTACAAAATAATATGTTTTGTAATATTTTAATCCTTTATATTTATATTCTTTATCTATTCTTATTATATACTATATATATCCTTAATATTTATATTTTTTCATATGTAAAGATATTTGCCTATTGCTCTCTTGTGTGTATTAAGCAGTGTGTAAGCGAGGCGCAACTCTGCGCTGGTTAGTTTTGGTCTAATGAAAAATCTATTATAGTTTCTCAAAATAGCGACGCGCCAGCGGTCCGCCTCAGAACACCTTCCTTTTAGACCAGAACGCCTATGGGCGCACAAATGAGCGCTAATGCATTTGCTATTTAAACAGCATAGCGCAACGCCTCAAAACCACTCTTGCGCCAAGCTGAAACTACCAAAAGACTACTGCGCCACGCCTTGCGCCACATTGGGCCGGGTGTATGATAGGGCCCATTGTTGCAACACAACAGTGTTTAAACCTCTTATAAATCTGATTTTTAAATAATAGGTCCCCTTTAAACCATTAATATTTTTTTGTAATGTGTATCTGTAATGTAATGTAATGTAATGTGTATTTATATAGTGCATTTATTGTGTATTGCGTTTTGTTGACAGTATATTGACCTTATTCTTCACCTAAAAGCATGCGCAGCCATTGGATTCGCTTTGGTTGTAGATCTCCGCTCTCATTCACTTCCATTGATTTCTAGACGTTAAAAACAGCTCGTTCTGCTGCTTGATGTTGCAAATTGAAAGTTTCATATTATATTATTCTCCTTTTTAAGTCTAGTCATGAACACACTTGTTTGTAGAGCAAGTAGTTTGACTGTTTTCTGACGTTCGTTTCTCCTAAATAGTCATTTCTCCCATAGACAACTGAATCAGAAGCTCTAAAACAATCGCAAACATTAGCGCACTTCTACATTCTAGAGCTCTCAATGCAATCCATTTGATCCGTCAAATCTCCAACCCTCCATGAGCGCTCCAGCAGAGGTCAGGATGAAAGAAAGTTCATCTCTCTGTTATATGTGGCGAGCGGCTCGGTGCTCCTCCTTTTGAAGATCAGAGGACACACACTTCTGAAGGCCTTTCTGAAGTTGGCCCCCATGAAGGCGTAGATGACGGGGTTGATGGAGGAGTTGGAGTAGGACATGCCGTGCGCCCAGATCTTCAGCTTGTAGAGCGTGTAGCTGCGGCTCACGTCTTCAGCACAGAAGGCCTGCAGCAGGATCAGGATCTGGATGGGACCCCAGCACAGCAGGAACAGCAGCACCATCACCACTACCATCCTGGAGACGCGGCTGCGCACGGCTTCAGCACGCTCCGATGACGTCTGCAGACTAATCTATTGGTTCAAAAATGTGTTTTTTACTGAAATATAACGAAAAATTTGCAATGAATGAAAAAATAAAACTGAAACTAACAAGAGTCACTGAAAAAGGCCAGTTCACATCTTATATAAAAGGAGCACTCCAGTATGTCTATGGCAAAGAATACACTCGTTTAAAGGTCTTTAAAATGAAATAGCTCAACATAAACAGTGGAGTCTGAGAAAAATACTCGTTTTCTATGGAAATTTCAGACATCACTTGGAGGTTTTTGCATCTGAAAACTTCATATATACCATTGAAAAAAGTTTGCATACACTGTATAAAGAGGCACATAACCATATTAAAAAAGTCAGATGTAAGTGTGAATAAACTCTTTCACTTTTAGGTGAGTTAGGATTATCTTTTATTTTCTTGAGAGTCAAGTCTACATACAATAAGATCATCCTGCCTCTGAAAAGGCTCAGATGATGATGTCAAGGATTTGGAAGTTTCTGATTGGCTAATTGACAACATTTGAGTTAATTGGAGGCACAACTGTAGAATAGTATTTAAGGAAAAGCTCAAACACACTGCTTCCTTGTGTGACAACAAGGGAAAATCAACAAGCAAGAATCAACAACAAAGCCAGATTTGCTAAATTACACTGGGAAAAAGACATGTCCTGTAGTCTGATGGAACTAAGATTGAACTGTTTGGCCATAATGACTAGTGCTACATTTGGAGGACAAAGGGGAAAGCTTACAAGCCTAGGAACACCATCCCAACTGTGAAGTATGGGGGCGGCAGCATCATGTTGTGGGGCTGTTTTACTGCAGGAGGGACTGGTCCACTTCACAGCATAGATGGCTTCATGAAGAAACATTATGAAGAACATTATGGAGAAATACTGAAGCAACATCTCAAGACATCAGCCAGAAAATTAAAACCTGGCCACAAATGGGTCTTCCAAACAGGCCATGACCCTAAGCATACTGCCAAATTAGTTAAAATGTGCTTTAAGGACAACAGAGTGAATGTTTTGAAGTGGCCATCACAAAGTCCTGACCTCAATCCTATAGAAAATTTGTGGGCAGAGTTGAAAAAGCTTGTGCGAGCAAGACAGCCAACAAATCTGACTCAGTTACACCAATTCTGTCAGGAGGAATGGGCCAAAATTCCGGCAAACTATTGTGAGAAGCTTGTGGAAGGAGACCCAAAACATTTGACCAAAGTTATACAGTTTAAAAGCAAAGCTAAATAATACCAAGGAAATGTGTGTAAACTTTTTTTAATTAATAAAATTTTTTTAAAACAAATTCTCTCATTATTCTGGCAATAAATCATTTAGGTAATCCTAACGAACCTAAAATAGTAAGCGTTTAGTATGATTTACATCAGACATTTTTTAAAAATGGTTATGTTCCTTTTTTAGAGTGTATGTAAACTTCTGGTTTCAACTGTGTGTGTGTGTGTGTGTGTGTGTGTGTGTGTGTGTGTGTGTGTGTGTGTGTGTGTGTGTGTGTGTGTGTGTATATCCAAGTTTTAGAAACAACATGTAATAAGTTGACTTCTAGTTGATCATTTGGTATCAGAAGTGGCTTATATGAAAGGGAAAGGCTTATTTTACCAAAATAAAACATGATCAAGTCTTGATTTTTAATGGTTTAGTTAGGACAGTAAGGTCTGACTTTGCTTAGACTAAAGTCTCATCACTGAGCAGAAATAATGTCCAGTATAGAATATAAAGTCCTGCTGCAGTGGAGACAGAATGAATATTGTGTCTGACTCCATCATGAGCCTGGAGGACTGCATCCATACATCTCTGACATGACTCAAATCAATGATTAATAAAGTCATCTGGAATGGCAGAGAAAGCGTTCCTACAGGACTCCCAGAGTTCATCAAGACTCTTTGGATTCATCTTCAATGCCTCCTCCTTCATCTTACCCCAGACATGCTCAATAATGTTCATGTCTGGTGACTGGGCTGGCCAATCCTGGAGCAGCTTGACCTTCTTTGCTTTCAGGAGCTTTGATGTGGAGGCTGAAGTATGAGGAGCGCTATCCTGCTGGAGAATTGTCCCTCTCCTGTGGTTTGTAATGTAATGGGCAGCACAAATGTCTTGATACCTCAGGCTGTTGATGTTGATCATCCACTCTGCAGATCTCTCGCACGCCCCCATACTGAATGTCACCCCAAACCATGATTTTTTCCTTCACTAAACTTGACAAATTTCTCTGAGAATCTTGGCTCCATGTGGACTCCAGTAGGTCTTCTGCAGTATTTGTGATGATTGGGATGCAGATCAACAGATGATCCATCAGAGAAATCCACCTTCATCCAAATGACCAACTAGAAGTGAAGTTATTATTTGGTGCTCTTACAACTGGGATCGACAATGAGACTTTTATCATTCTTAAAGGGAAAGGGCATCCGCTGTGAAAACATATGCTGGAGAAGTTGGCGGTTCATGTGGTGACCCCTGATCAATAAAGGGACTAACCTGAAAAGAAAATGAATGAGAAAATGAATATCCACATTTGAAAAGGCACCTCGATATGTTTTTTTAATGAAGCAGAAATACAGCAGCAGCATTACCTGGTTACAGCCTTGAACTGGTTGGACTGTGGCCTGCGCCATGCGCTTCAGCATGAAGGTATAACACATGCAGATGGTGATCAGAGGCAGCAGGTAAACAGCCAAGAAGGAGTAAAGGAGGTAAACTCTCTTATGAATGACCGAAGGAAAGGTCTCAGTGCAGTACGTCTGTGGGCCGAACCAGTATGAAGACTCAGTGTGCTGATACAGAGCAATCGGCACTGAGAGCAGTGAAGAACCTGCGTTTAAAAAGCATTCAGTTGACAACATCCAATACAATGTGTGAAAACTAAACTACGCAAATCAACACAAACGACAAATACGATAGTAATTTACAGTAAATACTATAGTGCTTTTGAATCATCCTATAGTAAAGTACTTGAGTTAACCTGTTGTGGTAATTCTACAGTTACTATAGTATATAGCAACCACTTAGAACAACCCCCTACCAATGCCTTAGTAACTACTTTTAACACCTAAGCAACAGCTTAGCAATATCGAAATTTCGGCCGAATTTGCATCACATTACTACGAGTGTATAACTAACGACAAGGTGTGAAAAGAAAATCCAGAATCCATGAAATCTGTCTACTTAAAGAGACTGTGATGATTTTCATACATATCCAGATGGTGGTGCACACGGACAGAGCCATCTGTGGAGTTCGGTGATGGAGAGACTGCAGCGGGTACACAGTCACGTAAAACCGGTCCACGCTCATCGCGGACAGAGTGATGCAGGTCGCCTGAGCCGTTACCTGTGAGTTCAGTAGAAACAAAAAGTTGCTTAAAAGTCAAAATTTTTAGCATGTATACAGCTGAAGTCAGAATTAGCAGAATTATTTTCTCAATATCAATGTGAACCGGGCTCTTGTGTCCCGAATGCATTATGCTGTAGTGACACATTTCCATTCTCTATTCATACAATTTTATTCGTACGAAAATGTTAAATGGAGGCGATTTCTCTAAACCAAAATCAAAAAGCAAATCGTATTAAAATGTACAAGCGAGAATGTATAAATTCGTATCAAGCCTGGTTTATACTTCTGCGTCAAGTGACCGGCGTAACCCACGGCGCATGCAACGCGCGTGGCTGTGCATTTATACTTCTCTGTTGTCTCTGTTGGTCTGCATTAACACTTTCGAAACGCTAGTTGGCAGTGAGTTTCTTCGCTGCTGTTTAGTTTTCCTGAACACTTCCTGGATGTACAAGTGGCTCAAACTCGCTCATTTTGAGGCAGGAACCGGCGGACGTGCAACAACTTTAACTATGAGGTAAACACAAAACAAAACTTTCCATCCGGAGCTCCTTCACGGGACTCCACACTTGTAAACAATCGCTCCATCAGGCTCGCACCATTCACGCGGCTCTCGGTCCCGCCCAAACTCGTCAGCGCTACCAAGCCGACCAATCACAGAGCTTGCGCTATGCGTCGTTGCGACGTGTAGTTACATATTTTGAGAGGTGCACGTCAGCGACGCCAACGGCCACGGCGAAGGGCTATGCATCAGCGCCATAGCATACGCCGGCGTTTGACGCAGAAGTATAAATCAGCCTTTAGTTAGCCACCAAATCAAAAGGTTACAAATTGATTTCGTAAGTTTTATCGTGAGATTCATTCATTCATTCATTTTCTTGTCGGCTTTGTCCCTTTTATTATTCCGGGGTCGCCACAGCAGAATGAACCACCAACTTATCCAGCAAGTTTTCATGAAGCGGATGCCCTTCCAGCCGCAACCCATCTCTGGGAAACATCCACACACACATTCACACACACACTCATACACTACAGACAATTTAGCCTACCCAATTCACCTGTATCGCATGTCTTTGGACTGTGGGGTAAACCAGAGCACCCAGAGGAAACTCTCGCGAATGCAGGGAGAACATGCTAACTCCACACAGAAACACCAACTGAGCCGAGGCTCAAACCAGCGACCATCTTGCTGTGAGGCGACAGCACTACCTACTGCGCCACTGCTTCACCCTTTAACCTGAGATTGTGTTGGACATTCTGACATTATATTTGCTGATGGTCAAAGCCGCTCTGCAGATGACGAAGAGTCGGAGTTGACAGAAAGTTGACTAGTGTACAGTAAACATTGGCTTTTTTCCCTCACTCATTTTGCCATTAAAGTCTGTGTGAATTCCCTATTTACAATGTTTATCCACTGAAAGCATCTAAAAGGGAGCTGTTTACATTGCATTACCAAGCCAACTACTAATGCGTTTTGTACGTTTCAAAGAGCTTTGTTGCAGCACCACAGTGGAACCACAGCACGGTTTGGCACAGTTCAGCACAACAGTGGAAAAGCACTTTAATAAGTCTTGAGCAGTCGCTTCTGTGTTTGGAGGGGCAGGGCTTCTGTGTTTACGTCAGTATGACGCTTCACAATATTCTTAGCCACGCCCCTCTTATTGTTAGTTTGCTACAAGAGAATGATAAGCAAAAAGAAAGCCCCGCCCCCAGCTCAATGTTCCATTTCAGTTTCAGTAAAAGTTAAGTTCCAGTTTACACAGACTTTAAGAATTAACAAAGATGCCAAATTTACAGTGGGGAAAATAAGTATTGCACGTATGCATTTTTCTCAGAAACCGTATTTCTGTGCTGTTGACTTGAAATTTTCCCCGGATGTTGGTTTCACACCGAAGAAATCCACACATACAAAGAAAACAAATCTAATTAGTTTACAAACGAAGTTACGAGTATTAAAATGACATGACGCAGGGAAAAAGTATTGAACACATTAAGAAAGGGAGGTGTAGTTCAGCAGTGAAAGCCCAGACAGCAGCTGAAATCTCTCAGTAGTTCTACTCTGCTCTTCCTCAGTGTAAATGAACATCAGCTGCTTCAGTCCAACATCTACATTAGCAGGAGGATGAAGATGAGCCAGGGTGGACATTTCAGCAAGACATTGATCCAAAACACAGCCAAGGAGGCTGTCAGATGCTTTCAGAGAAAGAAAATCAAGCTGTAGAATGGCCCAGCCAATCACCTGAACCGAATCCAATAGAGAATACAAAATAAAGCTCAGATTTGACAGTTGAGACCCACAGAATCATCAAGACTTTGACACTCTGTTGAAGTCTGTGAGAAATTCACGCCTGAGCAGTGCATGAGACTTCATTCTCCATATAAGAGGAGTCTTTAAGCTGCAGCACTAAAAAAAAAGTAATATAAAGTATTAAACACATTCAGTAGTTCAGCACTTTCTCCTTCTGTTATTTTGTTATTACACATTACTCACTTTCCAGATTTGTTTTGTCTTATTTTTATGTTTGCCTTGTTTGGGTTTTCACCAAAATCTGCTTCAACTTCATGTCAACAGCTCCTTCAGAAATATTATTCCCAGGAAAAAAACCATGACGTGTTCAATACTCATTTCCCCTGCAGTATATGATGAATAAAACAAGCATAAAAAGCTCTGACCTGTTGCAGATAATTGACCAGGCGACACATAAAATCCCCAAATATCCAGCTAGGAAGAACGTACACAGTGGCAGTGAAGGGAACGCAACAAACCAGGAAAAGTATATCGGTGGTGGCAAGATTAACTGAGGAGAGAAGCAAAAATCAAATGTATTATTCTCATAAACAGTGTCCGGTAGTTGAAGTCAGAATTATTAGCCCAGCTTTGATTGTTTTTTCTATTTTAAATATTTCCCAAATTATGTTTAACAGAGCAAGGAAATTTTCACAGTATGTCTGATAATATTTTATCTTCTGGAGAAAGTCTTATTTGTTTTATTTCGGCTACAATAAAAGAAGTTTTTAATTTTTTAAACATAATTTTAAGGACAAAATAATAGCCCCTTTAAGCTATATATTTTTTCAATAGTCTACAGAACAAACCATCACTATACAATAACTTGCCTAATTACCCTAACCTGCCTAGTTAACCTAATTAACCTAGTTAAGCCTTTAAATGTCACTTTAAGCTGTATAGAAGTGTCTTGAAATTTTTCTAGTAAAATATTATTTACTGTCATCATGACAAAGATAAAATAAATCCGTGATTAGAGATGAGTTATTAAAACTATTATGATTATAAATGTGTTGAAAAAATCTGCTCTCCGTTAAACAGAAATTGGGGAAAAAAAATAAACAGGGGGGCTAATAATTCTGACTTCTACTGTATATACAGGATATGATAATCTTTATACCTATGTAGAGGTTTGTAACCGTCTTCATCTGCTGGTTTTTAATGACCACATAGATGACTATTAGGTTACCCACTAAACCCACAAACATGATGAGTGTGAAAAACAGCGGGACGAGCCACGTGTCGGTCAGAGGAACAGGGTTTTGGAATCTCATCAGATCCGTCTGATTGCACTGATAAATATTTGCGTCATAATTGCACATGATGTGCTCTGCAGCATCGCCGGTGCTGTTAGTTTCTGCCATCAGACTCGCTGCGAGAAATAACCTGCAACAAAAACACACAGTAGAAGACTAAATTATTATTATTATTATAAGTGAATTGTTTTTCAATTATTAAAATAAAAATAAAAATTAAAAAAAAAAGATAACCCTAAACCCAACCGTCACAATAATCCAAAAACAGACCTGGAGTCTTCTCTATTAGTATGGCTGATTAACCATGTGGATGGATGATACCGTTTGGCACAAAAGGTCCCTACTGGCCCATTTCTATCAGCTGATATCCACTGATAACGCCCATTCAATCAAAAGATAACATTCGAATGCTATATGATGCTATACGGTGCTATATGTTGTTTTATAATAAATCGAGAGGGTGCTCGCTGCAGAGCCATTTGAGGAGAGGTGAGCTCCAGAGAGGGGGAGCATGAGCTGTCTCTCCTCCTCCTGTAAGCTGTTTTAATGCGTACACCAACCCCACCCCTAACCCTACCCCCAGTGACATCACTCGTAGAAGAAGTGCAAAAAAGGTGGAGCTCAAGCTTAAGCTCCCCCTCTCTGGAGCTCACCTCTCCTCAAATGGCTCTGCAGCGAGCACCACTTGAATAAATCTGCAAATACAGTTGAAGTCAGAATTATTAGCCCCCTTTGAATTTATTTTTATTTTTTAAATATTGACCAAATGATGTTGAACAGATTCAGGAAATTTTCACAGAATGTCTGATAATATTTTTTTTTTTCTGGGGAAAGTCTTATTTGTTTTACTTTGGCTAGAATAAAAGCAGATTTTAATTTTTTAAAAGCCATTTTAAGGTCAATATTATTAGGCCTTTTAGGCTATATTTTCCCCCGATAGTCTACAGAACAAACCATCATTATACAATAACTTGCCTAATTACCCTAACCTGCCTAGTTAACCTAATTAACCAAGTGAAGCCTTTAAATGTCACTTTAAGCTGTATAGAAGTGTCTTGAAAAATATCTAGTCTAATATTATTTACTGTCATCATGGCAAAGATTAAATAAATCAGTTATTACAGATGAGTTATTAAAACTATTATGTTTAGAAATGTGCTGAAACAATCTTCCCTCCAATAAACAGAAATTGGGGATAATAATAATTCAGGAGGGCTAACAATTCTGACTTCAACTGTACATTATACATTAATATAAATCTTCTGAACAAATACAGCATGTGTGCAATAAGATCAAATATGTAGTTTTTTTAAATTCAACAACTAAACAAAACCCCAATCTAAACGTAAACATGTGACATAAGGTAGTTTACATACATGTAGTTTATCATTATTATTCAGTATGCATTTATATATTTTAACTGCTCACACACACACACACACACACACACACACACACACACACACACACACACACACACACACACACACACACACACACACACACACACACACACACACACACACACACACACACACACAATTAAATCCATTAATAAATTAAATAATTAAACATATTTATTGGATATTAATAATAATTGAGTAGTACACCAGCCACACTAAACTAACATTAAATACACCTGCAATAACAACAGTCAACTTCTATTGCCTATAACATTACAACAATTATCATTATAATATTATTGCATATTTCTTATAATTATTATAAAATAACACGGTTGTCACTCAGTATCATGCAGATTTGTCAAAATAAATTCACAGTAATTTCTCTGCAATATAACGCTTCATTTGAGGACTAGATTTGCATAAATGTAACAGCTTACCTCTTTCAAAAATGTAAAAGGAAGTAAACACTGCTCCTAAAACATGTTACTGTAGTCCGGTGTGAAGGTTTCACAGCTGTTGATGTTTCTCCTTCAATGCAGTGAACACACACACACACACACACACACATGCATGCATGCACGCAGTGATGCAATTTTTTTTATGGACTGCACCGGGAGGAGCAAAACACCTTTAGGTCACTTCAAAAACTGATATACTCCAATTTACTTTGAAATTAATTAGCATTTTTAATCAAGTAAAAAACTGCACCAGAGTTTGTTTTTATAGCACATTATAATTATTATTATTACTATTAATGTTGCTGTTTTGGTTCATATGTGGTGCTTTTCACAACAATTATCATTCCCATTATCGTACTATTACAGCACAGGAAATGTAAAACCCACCCTACCAGCCCCATACAGTGACAGAAAGCACTCTAGTATTTTAATTTAGAAAATTGACTACACTGAACTAAATATTTATTGGATTCACAAGTGTTTTCAGTGTATTTACGAGCATACATTGCAATACAGGACATTAACATCCGGCGAGGCAGTGGCGCTGTAGGTAGTGCTGTCGCCTCACAGCAAGAAGGTCGAACCTCGGCTCAGTTGGTGTTTCTGTGTGGAGTTTGCATGTTCTCCCTGCCTTCACGTGGGTTTCCTTTGGGTGCTCCGGTTTCCCCCACAGTCCAAAGACATGCGGTACAGGTGAATTGGGCAGGCTAAATTGTCCGTAGCGTATGAGTGTGTGTGTGCGAATGTGTGTGTGGATGTTTCCCAGAGATGGGTTGCGTCTGGAAGGGCATCCGCTGCGTAAAACATGCTGGATAAGTTGGGGGTTCATTCCGCTGTGACGACCCCGGAGTAATAAAAGGACTAAGTCGACAAGAAAATGAATGAATGAATGACATTAGCATCCGCTTTTATAGTCTCTATTTCCATCTTTTCGACGTCAAAATATGTTGTAGGAAAAGTCAAGCTCCCATAATGCAAATGAAAGCATGAATAAAAGAAAACACAAAAAGCATTAATTACTTAATACTAAAACTGTTAATATACGGATATTTTTATAGTGTATTTATAAAAAGGGTCAGTTCACCCAAAAATGAAAATTAGCCATAATTTACTCACCCTCAAGGCATCCTATTGGTGCATCACTTTCTTCTTTCAGTCGAATAAAAATGGCTCATTAAAGGTTTAGAAAGTTTAAAACACACCCTACAAAATGAATTCATCCATAATAAAAAGTGCTTCACATGGGTCCGTAGGTGAATAAAGTGAATCTTGATTGCTCTAATGTGTTAAGGATTAGTTATTCTTCTATGTTGAATTCTTGTGTTTTATTCTCTCGTTGTTGTAGTCGGAGACTCTATACTGCTCAGTGATCGCCGTCTTTCAGATGAGATGTTAAATCGAGGTCCTGACTCTCTGTGGCTGTTAAAGGATGTCCATCTAAAAAGAGTAGGAGTTTAACCCCGGTGTCCTGGCCAAATTTGCCAACTGGCCTCTGTCCATCATGGCGTCCTAACCATCCCCATATCATAATTGGCTTCATTTCCTCTCCACCAATCAGCTGGTGTGTGGTTTGCGGTCTGGCGCAATATGGCTGCCGTTGCTTCATCAAGGTGGATGCTGCACACTGGAAATGGATAAACAGATTCCTCCAAAAATGTGTAAAATGCTTTGAGTGTCCAGAAAAAGTGCTATATACTGTAAATGTAAGGAATTATTAAGTACTAAAAATATATAGTTTTGTATATCAATTAGAGATGCGCGGATGGCGGTTACAGCCGCGGAATCCGGGTGGATGACGTAACGAAAAATTAAATTTTAATTATATTCGGGCGGGTGGTGGGCGGTTGTACTGTTTTTGTACACATAGCTGGCGCACCAACGAAAAAGCCTAGGACTGACTTCACAGAATGAGAGGAGGAATCGGATACACTAATTCTGGATGAAGTACAGAAGTATTCCTTTACAAACTTCCGTATAGACGGATCAGCAGAGGAAAATCTACTTTCCTTTTAGGAGAAACAAGGCCAGGCATTCCCACGACTACAGCACCTTGCCAAGAGAATTCTATGCATTCCAGCAACAAGTGCTGCGAGCGAGCGCTCCTTCAGCGCAGCAGGGCGCATTGAGGCCAGGCGCTCTCGTCTGAATGTTGAAATGATGTGTCAAAATGCGTTTTCTATTAGGCTACTATAATAGTAAAAACAAATCGTACAGTACAGTGCGTTTCATTTAGGCTATTTATTTATTTTTGTCCCTGTGCGCCATTTGGAGACGGAGTTCACTGCTGATATATTCTGAGAGCTTTATAGGGGTGCTTCTCATTTCTTATTTGTGTATCCTCGTTTCCTTTCCTTGCTTTCTTTCCTCGTCTTTCCACCCCTATAGGATGCGAGGGAAGGACGCAAGGAAAAGACTCAAGGACCGAGGAATTGAATCAAGTGAAACGACACGTCCTCGTATTGTTTAGCGTCACTTCAAAGCGTCAAAAAATGCTGCATTGACTTGCACGTTTGAATTAACTGCATGTCATTAAAGTCATTCTCTATTTTCTAATAATCAATAAAGAAACATTCATTTAATAATAAAAAGGGATAAGCCATTCAAATAAAGAGCTCAGTCAGCAGATGGCGGGCGGGTGCGGTTTTAAAATTTGGTTGAAAATGTTAGTGCGGATGGATGGCGGACGGATGATGAGTTTTGTGATGCGGTTGCGGATGAAATAATAGCCCATCCGCGCATCTCTAATATCAATATACTATTATTAAATAGCACTTTATAGAAGTGCACTAAAAGTGTACATGAAGTGCACCTTTTAACTCTAGAGGCTTTATAAGATTTCCATAATATATTCAATTTTGAGCACTTAAAGCAAACTAAAAATCTGCGATTATTATGCACGAGCAGTGTTTCTCACTCTCAGGAATAAAAACGCGGCACTTTATTAAAACACATTTCTTTACTGCAGTCTGTAGTGAAAACAAATCATACCAACAACAACTTGGTTTCAGCTAGAGATATACAACAGACTACAGCATGACCATGGAAAAAAGGTCTGCGATTTCATACAAAAAAGATGTTAGCAATCATTTGCCTAATGACAATTATAATGAGCAGTATAAAAGGGAGACAAATTCAGCACTTGCTATGGGGAGTCTTGTAAATTTGTCTTTTCTTCAATGGCCTGTTTGACGATTTCAGCCAGCTTTAAGCGGTCCACTCTGTCGGAAAAAGATCTACCTGTGAAGAAACGAAGAACATGGAAACTGTGCTCAACTGGAATTACGCAATTAATTTGTGAATTTGTTATACTAATTTCTCTTATCAGTGTCAACGTTATTTTGACAAATCTTTTTTTTTTAAACTGCAATCTTTTTTATATATACATATACGATACACCCTTCATATTAGAATACATCAGATATGTAGTATTCAGTAGTGTAGTACTAGTAAAATAGATTTAAAGCGAGGTGCTAATGAAGGAATCAGATTCAATGATTTCTACAAAAACAATTTAACTAAACTAGCCTACAGCAACGTCTGCTGATAAAAACTAGCCTATAACACTGTTTGCTGTAAAAACACTAGCCTAAACTAGCCTAGAGCACCATCTGCTGTAAAAAACTAGCCTGTAGTGCCGTCTGCTGTAAAAAAAAAAACTAGCCTAAACTAGCCTAGAGCACCATTTGCTGTAAAAAACTAGCCTGTAGTGCCGTCTGCTGTAAAAAAAAAAACTAGCCTAAACTAGCTTAGCGCTCCATCTGCCGAAACAAACTAGCCAAAACTAGCCTAAAGCTTTGTCTGCAGTTAAAAACTAGCCTAGAGCGCCATCTGCTGTTAAAAAACTAGCCTGTAGTGCCGTCTGCTGTAAAAAAAAAAACTAGCCTAAACTAGCTTAGCGCTCCATCTGCCAAAACAAACTAGCCAAAACTAGCCTAAAACTGTGTCTGCAGTTAAAAACTAGCCTATAACACTGTTTGCTGTAAAAACACTAGCCTAAACTAGCCTAGAGCACCATCTGCTGTTAAAAAACTAGCCTTGAGTGCCATTTGCTGTAAAATACTAACCTAAACTAGCCTAGGGCTCCATCTGCCAAAACAAACTAGCCAAAACTAGCCTAGAGCTTTGTCTGCAGTTAAAAACTAGCCTAGAGCGCCATCTGCTGTTAAAAAACTAGCCTAGAGTGCCATTTGCTGTAAAATACTAGCCTAAACTAGCCTAGAACTCGATCTGCCAAAAAGCTAGCACGAACTAGCCCAGAGCTTCGTCTGCTTTTAAAAAACTAGCCTAAACTTACCTATTGTGCTTTCAGCTGTTAAAAACTTGCCTGTAGTGCTGTCTGCTGTAAAAAAAAAACTAGCCTAAACTAACTTAGAGTACCATCTGCTGTAATAAAAAACTAGCCTAGTATGCCATTTGCTGTAAAACACCAACCAAAGCTAGCTTAGAGTTCCACCTGCCAAAAAAATAGCCTAAAGTAGCCTAAAGCATCATCTGCTGTTAAAAACTAGCCTAGAGCACTACCTGCTGTAAAAACCTAGCCTAGAGTTCTGTTTGCTGTAAATAAACACATAGCTAATGGTCTAATCTGATTCAATAATCTATGCTAAGCTAAGCTAAGCTAAAAGGGCTCCCACCTGACATGGAGATTGGCTTAGTGGGTTCAAAAAATGGTAAAAAAAAAATTTTTTTTAACTCTAGGAGAGCTGTAAATTGAGCCTACTTCCAAAAACAATTGAGTGTTCGTTTAAAACTGCCAAATTTAATAATCAGTTCAGTCACACAGATGAATTTGCAAGTACTGGATGCTATTCTAGTGCACAGTATAGCTTCTAGAAAATAAACCTCAGACACAAAACACTTACCATCCCAACATAACCCATGCAATCCATCTCTGAGAAGTTTGCAATCACGATTCAAGCGCCAAGCTTCATGCATTACTTCATTTAGCTTTTCGTCATCACTGTCACCTGTGGTCATATAAAAAAAGAGACAAACTATGATGTGCTTCATGGTTTTTGGACAGCATTATAGTTTATCCCTGCAGACATTTTCTATGAAAGCTACAAATCAACACTGAGAACTTTTTTCTGGATGAGTTGATGTTGTTTAGTTAAAAATAGCCTGGAGCGCCGTCTGCTGTTAAGAACTGGCCTAGAGCGCCATCTGCTGTTAAAATCTAGCCTAGAGCGCCATCTGCGGCTTCAAACTAGCCAATAGCGCCAACTGCTGCTAAAAACTAGCCTAGAGCACCATCTGCTGGTAAAAACTTGCATAGAGCGCCGTCTGCTGTCAAAAACTAGCCTTAAGCACCATCTACTGTTAAAAACTAGCCTAGATCGCCATCTGCTGCTTAAAACTAGCCAATAGCCCCATCTGCTGCTAAAAATAGCCTTGAGCGCCATTTGCTTTTAAAATCTAGCCTAGAGCGCTGTCTGCTGGTAAAACTAGCCTAGAGCACCATCTACTGGTAAAAACTAGCCAAGATCGCCGTCTACTATTAAAAATTAGCCTAGAGCGCCATCTGCTGTTAAAAACTGGCCTAAAGCACCATCTACTGTTAAAAACTAGCGTAGAGCGCCATCGGCTTCTTAAAACTAGCCAATACTGCCATCTGCTGCTAAAAACTAGCCTGGAGCACCATTTGCTGTTAAAAACTAGCCTAGAGCGCCGTCTGCTGTCGAAAACTAGCCTAGAGCATAGTCTGCTGTTAAAAACTAGCCTATAGTGCTATCTGCTATTAAAAAACTAGCCTAGAGTGCTGCCTGCTGTTAAAAACTTGCCTAGAGCGCCATGCGCTGTTAAAAACTAGCCTAGAGCTCTATCTACTGGTAAAAAAAACTAGCCTAGAGCGCCATCTGCTGGTAAATATAGCCTAGAGCACCGTCTGCTGGTAAAAACTTGCCTAGAGCGCCATCTGCTGTTAAAAACCAGCATAGAGCGCCATCTGCTGTTAAATACTAGCCTAGAGCACCATGTGCTGTTAAAAACTAGCCTAGAGCGCCATCTGCTGTTAAAAACCAGCCTAGAGCGCCATCTGCTGTTAAATACTAGCCTAGAGCACCATGTGCTGTTAAAAACTAGCCTAGAGCGCCATCTGCTGTTAAAAACTAGCCTAGAGCGCCATCTGCTGTTAAAAACCAGCCTAGAGCGCCATCTGCTGTTAAATACTAGCCTAGAGCACCATCTGCTGTTAAAAACTAGTCTAGAGCACCATGTGCTGTTAAAAACTAGCCTATTTACAACAAAATTAACACTAAAAGAGTGTTTTTATACCAGAGATGCCCAAACTAAGACCTGCGGGCCAAAGTTGGCCCACGGTAACCTTTGATTTAGCCCACCATCCCATCTGAGAAGAAACAGAGATGATGGGGATGGTTTCGAGACTGTCAATTCAAATCTAATGTAAGTTTTGTTTGTTTGTTTTCTTTGATTATATGGTGTAAATCAATCAGATTATCTTTGGTCAGCAAATCAAGTCAAAGGCAGATTCTGCTTGACCAGTGTATTCAGTGTTGGACTGCATTGTGTTATAACTGTGGCAGTTTTTCTTATTGCAATAAGTTATCATTTTAAATGTTATACTGCATAAGTTAACATGATTTAAAGTGATGTTTTACATTTATATTGAAATATTATGAAATAAATTAGGAAATTACCCATGGCAACTTTAGTGTAATGTAGTTTGGTATATTCACCTTCAGCCCACAGCTCTCAATGATATTTGGATTTAGGCCTTCATACGGAAAAGTTTGGGCACCCCTGGTTTACACAATGAGTGGGTTTATACATACCAGCCTGTGGTAATATGCACTGTGCGATCACATCCCTTAGTTTTTCCAGAGCCACATTGGTGTCCTCCACCTCATTCTCTGGGTCATTGATGAACAGCTCGTCATTGGGTTTGGTGCTGCAGGGTTTAAGCACAGTCTGTTAAAAACAGCACTGTTAGTAAGGCAGGAGATAATGTGAATGAACTGAACGTTTACCCCAGCAGCTTTCTCTTTCTCAGAATGGGGTTGTTAACGGAGTTGAGGGGTTTCAGACTCAGATTGAGGTCTTGTATCCTCATGTTGGCCAGCTGCTCTGCATGAGCCTGTTGGATTCCTGCTACAACTGCCTGAATGAAGGAAATACACATGCAAGTAGTGTATTAGAAGTAGGTTTATCTTGGAGATGCAAAAACCTATCCTCATTTCTAGAATTACCAAAATCTATATATGGTTTAATGCTGTACAAGAATGTTTGCGATTAACCACATCCAAAATAAAAGCTTGTTTTGACATTATATATGTGTGTATATTTATTATATGCACATGAAGTCAGAATTATTAGCCCCCCGGTTTCTTCCCCCAATTTCTGTTTAACGGAGAGCAGATTTTTTCAACACATTTCTAATATAATCATAATAGTTTTAATAACTCATTTCTAATAACTGATTTATTTTATCTGTCATGATGACATTAAATAATATTAGACTAGATATTTTTCAAGCCACTTTCATACAGCTTAAAGTGACATTTAAAGGCTTAACTAGGTTAATTAGGTTAACTAGGCGGGTTAGGGTAATTAGGAAATGTTTTGTATAATGATAGATTTGTTCTGTAGACTATTGAGAAAAATATAGCTTAAAAGGGGCAAATAATGTCCTCAAAATAGTGTTAAAAAATTAATAACTGCTTTTATTCTAGCCAAAATGAAACAAATAAGACTTTCTTTAGAAGAAAAAATATTATCAGACGTACTGTGAAAATGTCCTTGCTTTATTAAACATTATTTGGGAAATATTTTTTTTTTAAAAATCAAAGGGGGGCTATTAATTCTGACTTCAACTGTATATATAAGTACACCCATGCATACGAATTTTTTTTATATTTAGATATAATATATGTGATAAAAATTGCATATAAATTTAAATATCAAAATAACAAAATTATTTTGTATAGTTTAGTTTTTATGCATGTGTGTCTATTACATAATAAGTACATATAATACACACACATATATATATTTAGGCAAATCAAAATCTTATTTTGGATGCAAGCAATTGTGAATAATCTTTGCCCAGCAATAAATAAATATATACATATCAGTAGGGATGGGTACCGAAACTCGAAACTCGAAGTGCACAGCATAAGGTAAGAGATGACAGCTGTCTGTGCTATCTGGGGCTGCTTATTGATCATAAATGTATTGTTTTCACTTCTACGCTATGGAAACACAGCGGCTCATTCAACAACTGTTTGATTTGTGAATATAATTCAGTAAAAGGAATGCTAGAACCATATGAGCACCGGCAAGAGCTTTCATTTGAGCTATAACTTGTACAAGTGTCATATGAAAAAATATGAAAATGAACCAATGTAAAATACCCAGCTCGGGTATCCAAAATACTGTGTATTTAAGTGTAAATAACTTTTGCACAGTAGAATAAAAACCAAAGTGATGCATATGTGCATAAAATATAGATTCTACACTTTCAAGCGAAACCACTTAAGGGGGTCTGGTGCATTGCTAGCCTTTTGAATCTTAAAGCGAAAGTTGATGACGTCAAGGACCGGGTACGCAGAGTTTGAGAGGTTAAAGTTGAAATTTTGAAAGCTTAATTGTGTTTATTATTTTATGAAACATTCTGAACCAGTTTGCACTTCTTGGGATTTGTCAAAAGTTGTTGCACTTTGCATTCAATTGCATCAGAAAAGCAGCATTAAAATGAGAGAAAGTTAGGATCAGCATACAAACTGTTTATCTTTGACTAGCTGTCAAAAGCTGACGTTTACATTGTAATCCAATGTAATAGTCTGTTGTCATTGTCTCTAATGTGATTTAATAAACTCTGCAGGAAAGTGGCCCTTATGGGCCAAATTTGAGCATGCCACAGCTATTTACTAGTGCGTAAATGATCTTGTGATACACAGTTCCAGGTAGGTAGGATTTAATAATTGTGCAATCATGGAGCTATTTAAACAGTGGCAGATACCACTCAGCCAAACTTCTTGCTTGTAAACTGTTATGTTTACACTGTGTTTACCTTGTCCATCATCATCTGAGCGGAGGGAAGCACATTGTCCAGAGCCTCGGTGCAATTGAGCCAGGGATGAGCTAAAACACCCTCTATGGTCAGTCTCTCCTCCGGCTTTACTTTAAGAAGCCTTAATGCATGAAAATATGTTTATTAGCGCTTCTATGTTCTGAAACATGAGCAACAGAGTAATGGTTTACACTAATAGAAAAGTGATTCAAACTGTAATATACATATTTTAGATGTTATTAGGCATTTGACAGCACTAGCTCAGATAAAGTATTACAAAGAGATCAATGTAATCATTGAACTTAGTGTGACATTGAACTGTAAGGGGGAAATAAAATTGTTAGAACATTTTACCATGCAGTTTTAGGGGCTGCGATGGACTGCGAGAAGAGTAAAAGACTCAGAAAAGTAAAATAAAAAGCAAGGTAAGTACAGACACTCACTTGCGGACGATGTCTTTGGCCATCTCTGATATCTGGCTCCACTCCTCCTCAGGAAAGTCAAAGCTGCCGGTCATGATTTTTTTGCGCATGTCTTTCGGGATGGTGCGGCTGTGGTGTTTGGAGTAAAACGGAGGATATCCACAGAGCATTACGTAGACGATCACCCCCAAAGACCACAGGTCACAGCTCTAAAGAGTGAGAAGGAGGGGAAAGTAAGAAGGAATACATAGGCCTGGTTTCGTGAAATGAAACATGTGAAACGTGGATAGCAGTTTCACTGGGACTAAATCTAATTTCACTGTTGCTACTACTGTTGCTGATAACGCTTAAAGTATAAATCTAACATCATCATTTGTACAACCCATATTTATTTTTAGTCTCATTTTCAATAAATGATTCAGTTATTCACTCATAAAACCTCATATTTCATTGCTAGATTATCATTTTTGAATAACCGTACGTTTACACAGAAAGAGGCGAGAGCGTCCAAGGTCGCTCTGGTGACAACGCTGTCTGCCTTCGGCTCCGGCGGCTAGAGCGTCAAAACTCGCTACATTGATCTCGTATTTAAAGGAGCCACTACAGCATGTCAGTTACATTCCTGCATAAGACATGTTTCTAGTGTGAAAATGTTGCGCACTTCTTATCAAATTCAGTTAACAATGGAAGATCAAGTTGCGTGTGGTGTGGCTTTGCTCTACTTATCCAATATCTGTCCATATGTCTGAAATATCCTAAAGCAGCTACACGGTTTTGTACTGTCACGTTGCGTGAGTTTCCCGCTTTTTTAAGATAAATATAGAACATTAATGCACATCAGTAACTCGCCAGTAACTTCTTTAATGCATGTTCCTGTAAGAAAACATTGTAAATAATTGGAAATCCGGCGACCGCAATCATCAAACCCTTGGGAACAACTGTGGTCAGAACCAAAGTTCACAGGTCTGTGTTCTCTGAACTGCTATCAAGCGGTGGACGTCTTCATTCTGATTGCTTGCCGCCGAACCGCGTTACCGTACGTTCACACCGAAAGCGGCGAGAGCGTCAAAGTAGCCGGAAGTCATTCATTTTCAATGAGAGCCGGCGGCGATAAGTGGCAAGGAGCAGCGCGGCGCGTCTTTGCCGGCGTGAGCGTCGAGGAGAGTTGAAATGAAGTCAACTTTATGGTAATGAGCTATGACGCGGTTCGGCGGCAAGCAATCAGAATAAAGACGTCCTGCGTCCTGACCTGCCACCGCTGAAATCTACCCGCATTTGGCGGGTCTTAATGTAAAGCCCTGGTGGGACACCTTGTCCCCGAGATTAGAATGGCTCCATCATTATCCATTTTTAAATCACTTCTTAAAACCTACCTTTTTAGCTTGGCTTTTTAAGATTATCTTGATAGTTCGTTCTACCGCAAATTTTTTTAATTTTTACAGACGTTTCTCTTGCCTTATTTCTATGCTTTTATGTGTCTTTTTTATTTTATTTTTTCCCTTGTCTTATGTACAGCACTTTGGTCAGTCTTGTGACTGCTTTTAAATGTGCTTTATAAATAAATGAACTTGAACAATGACACAGTCTGACAATAAAAGTGCACCTTGTTGTATGTGTAAGGGGTTGGTGAGGTAGGTATAATTCCAGACTTCTCTTTCTGGTGGCGCCTTTGTGCCTCCAGCACCTGTAACACAGGACCACTTCACATTTGTCATGTAAATAAACATTTTGCAGTGATCAGAGATATCACTTCGAGGTGAGAGATTTCATTTGCAGTCCATCACAACCCAACAGGTCACGTTTACATTTAAAATTCATCAGTGAGATCTTACCTGGGGTGCTACATAGTACGGCGTGAACTGCGGGGTCATCAAATCACCCTGATCGATTTTGGCAAAACCGAAATCACACAGTTTTACAGGGGCATCCTGATGGAGCAGTCAGACACACAAGAAACAGGACTCAAAATATAATAATGACTACAGATTATTTAAAAACATACACAACCATAATGATTAGTAAAAAAAAAACATTAATTTTTATCCTTTTTAATTTTTTTAATAACCATTTATTGGGCAAAAAACAACTATGGTAACTTTATTTAAATCGATAAATGACATCAAATCTTGTAATAACATCCAATAAGAGTTTTTGTCTAATGAGTGCCCTATAAAGGGTTAATAAAAAAACATTAGTAATTAAACATGTGTTAATGGCTAACCAGAATAATAATATTTCTATTTTAAATGCCACTTTTGACCTGTGCATGAGGATCAGGTCCACAACTGGCCAAGACCGTCCCTGATGCAACACTTCATTTGCTCTTTAATTAGTTAAAATATATCTATCTATCTCAGAACACAAACAATTAGTAAGGTTTTAGATCTTACCAGTGAATTATCCTTGAAGAGCAGATTCTCTGGTTTCAGGTCTCGATGTGCAATATTTAACGAATGACAGTGTTGCAATGCAAGGCTTATCTGTAAAAATGACAAGTTTTGTTCTAAATATGGGCCATTTTTACTGTGTGCCACTTTTTGTAGCCATGCGAACAACAGTATGTGTGCGGCTGATCGAGTATGACAATGCAATTTTAGTACTGATGCACACACACACACACACACACACACACACACACATTCATACACACAGTTAATAGATTATATGTTCGCTGTGTACTTTTTTAGGTGCACTTGTTCAACTGCTAATTAATGCAAGCACAAATCATCCATTCACAAGGCAACAACTTGGTCTGCATTTCCACGGCATGCTTTTTTCCCTCATGTGGCACATTTTGGATATGGCGCATGTACAGTTGAAGTCAGAATTATTAGCCCCCCTGTTTATTTTTTTCCCCCAATGTCTGTTTAACGGAGAGAAGATTTTTTTTTCAACACATTTCTAATCATAATAGTTTTAATAACTCATCTCTAATAACTAATTTATTTTCTCTTTGCCATGATGACACTAAATAGTATTTGACTAGATATTTTTGAAGACACTTCTACACAGCTTAAAGTGACATTTAAAGGCTTAACTAGGTTAATTAGGGTAACAAGGCTGGTTTGGGGAATTAAGCAAGTTATTATATAAAGATGGTTTGTTCTGTAGACTATCGATAAAAATGAGCTTAAAGGGGCTAATAATATTGAACTTAAAATGGTTCATAAAAAATTAAAAACTGCTTTTATTCTAGGCGAAATAAAACAAATAAGACTTTCTCTAGAAGAAAAAATATTATCAGACATACTGTGAACATTTCCTTGCCCTGTTACACATCACTTGAGAAATATTTAAAATAGAAAAAAAAAAAAAAATCAAAGAGGGTCTAATAATTCTGACTTCAACTGTAAGTGCAACGAGGAAAAAAAAAAAATCACATGGATTTCGACATACTGCCTACCGGGATCCTTTTCAGACCTCATTCATAAATGGAAATAAATGAGCTTTATGAAAATAAATTTTGCTGTTCAAACGCGTAAAAACAAGATGAAAGGTCATATAAAGAGCCCCTATTATGGGTTTTTGAAAATAAGCTTCCATGCAATGTGTAACACAGCTCTAAGGGAATGAAAACATCCAGATGAGGTTTAAATCCTAAAGTGCAGCATGTTTAAAACTACTGATTATTTAGCAAAATATTTTACTCAGAGTGGAATCAACCAATCGAGTTGGGTTCGGATCTTTTGTTGGATCGCATCTACGTCAATATGGTACATCTCCAAATATGTACTAACAGTTCTGTTAAAATGTGCATTCGCTTTCCCTCCACATACTTGCGGTGGCGCGGGGAATCACGGGACTGATCATGACACGAAGATGACGATCACTGGCAGATGGAGATTCGGCTGCGGGCAGGGCTGGAGCAAACTGAACTGGTGCTCTAGGTAAAAGATGATCATGTCGCCCTCAAACTGAAAGTGAAAACGAGAGACGGGGTTGTGATTGCGCGTACGACAGCGGGAAGCAGGGTGGTGGGGGGGATTATCGCGGACGAAAGTGAGGAGATGTTGCCAACACCCTCTCTCTATTCTGCTGCAGACTTGAGCACCGAACTCGCTCTGGAAGTCCCAGAAGTCATTGCGACTGGAAGTAAAAAGCGCAGCATTTTATTTAGATTTACTATTAAAGGTCAGAGATTTAACTTATTTACCTCAGGAGTTTCCCTAAATGAAACGGTGAAAGTAAACATTACCATCTTAATAAAGGAATAAACAGATTAAGGGTGTTTGCTGAAATTCTTATTAAAATCTGTTTTATTTATATTGTGCAACGTATATTAATAATGTTTTTATGTAGAGTATATATTTTGAAAAGGGCAAAAATAATAAATCGTTGTATGAATGCTGTTGTGTTTAAATAATTTACCATTTAAAACGCGTGAAGGTCACGTGACCATCAGGAAGAACGCAGCATCTCATTTCTCACAGGACCCGTTCTCTGCCCTTGAGGTCTCCTGAGTTCGTTCTTCTGAGGACACCTGGCAAGACCGGTCTCCACAAGAATGCAAGTCCGTTCTCTGCTTTCTTGGAATTGAGAAACAGCCTCTGTCTCGTGCTGAACGCAGTCGACCAATAGCGACAGTGTCACAATCACCAGCGATCATAACGCCATAGATCGCTGGATCTCACAATAACTTATGGACTACAATTCCGCCATTTCTGGACTACATATTCATTCATGCACTCCGGTCATACTCACACATGCTTCCTCATCTAGACTGATTACTCGCACTACCTGAGGATTGTCAGAGACTGATTGCACACACTATTTAAGCAGCACACTCACTCACTCCCATGGCCGAGTCTCGTTATCTGTAAAGTAACACTACAACGCGTTTCCTAGTCTTGTTTTCTTGTGTTTTGATCTTAGCCTTGTTAGCCCGTTTGTCTTAGTCTGCCGCCTGCTATTTGACTCTCGATTGTTTACTGATTACGATTCTGGACTGTCTCCATATACCTGTTTACAACTGTATTGACCATTGCTAGCCTGACCACTGATTAAACCTGCACGTGGATCCACAACTCAGTTGTTTGTGTCACTCCCCGTCGTTACAAACAGACTGCGTCACCGGACCAATCAGTGCAGATTAGCATCGCACTAAGGAGGGATTTGGCAACAAATAAATTGCTGAACGATTCAAATAGGAGTCGCTGGGATAATTAGGTAAAACAAATGCATATTACAAGACAATGAAAGTGTGTTTTGACCTTGCACGCATATCAGCCTGTTATTGGAAACCCCTAAAACCAAAATATGACCTTTTTTAATGCAAAATAGGGGCTCTTTAAACGCAATCGCTTTCAGAAGTAGCAGGACCTTTTCACCTGCTTGTGCGAGATGTAAATCTGACTGGTCAAATCACAAACACTTCAAGGATTGTTATTGTTATTTGAAAAAGACTAAAGTCACAGAAGCGCTAATAATGTTGACTTGAAATGTATATCATATTGTGTCCTTGATTAAAATTTAATTATGCATATTACTGTGAACAAGTGAACATGTAAATCAAATCTGAGGTCTAAATAAACAGTGCTGTAATATATATAAAATATAAATATTTATATACATGTATATGAGATGGGTTGCTGCTGTAAGGGCATCCGCTGCGTAAAAACTTGCTGGATAAGTTGCCGGTTCATTCCGCTGTGGTGACCCCGGATTAATAAAGGGACTAAGCCGACAAGAATATGAATGAATGAATATGCATGTATAAACTTTTTACCTGTTTAGTGACCTGACTGGCCATCTTCTCTGTAAAGTGCTTGTGCTGGCTGATTCTGTGGAACAACTCTCCGCCTTCCATCATCTCCATCACAATCAATAACCTTGCCCTATCAGAGAGAAGTAGAACAAGTGTATATACAACATAAAGCATATATAGTTCATGTGTGAAAACAACTGGCGACACGGTGGCTCAGTGGTTAGCACTGTCGCCTCGCAGCAAGAAGGTCGCTGGTTCGAGTCCTGGCTGGGCCAGTTGGCATTTCTGTGTGGAGTTTGCATGTTCTCCACATGTTGCTGTGGGCTTCCTCCAGGTGCTCCGGTTTCCCCTGCAGTCCAAACACATGCGCTATACAGTAGGTGAATTGATTAAGCTAAATTGGCCGTAGTGTATGCGTGTAAATGAGTATGTATGGGTGTTTCCCAGTACTGGGTTGCAGCTGGAAGTGTGGTTTAACTGAGAAAAGATTTTTCCCAACACATTTCTAAGCATAATAGTTTTAGTCACTCATTCCTAATCACTAATTTCTTTTGTCTTTGTCATGATGACAGTACACGACATTTTACAAGATACTAGTATTCAGCTTAAATTATATTTAAAGGCTTAACTAAGTTAATTAGGCAAGTTCTGTGACAATCTGAAACTAATATTAATAATAACATTAACCTAATTATTATAATAACCGTAGCAGGTTTACTTTTTTTTTTTTTGTATTCCAGCCAAAATAAAATAAATAATATATCAATAAGATAAATATAATGGGAAACAAATGAATACACCGCACAACTGTTTCTGCTAAACAGCAGAAATATTAACAAAAAAATTATTAATTTCACAGGAGGGCTGATCATTTTGTCTTTAACTGTATGGAAACGACAATAGATGCTGTTGGACTACCTTGGACTGGATTCATGAGGAAACTGTACACTGTTGGCGTACACCTCCATTATTTTAACTATGTTAGGGTGAGAGGCACACATCATATGAAGCCGAACCTGCAAACAACATAATAAAGAAGTCTGAGATTATTAAATCAAGGCATCTGCTATATGATGACTGAAAAAGATCTGATCATCTGATCATCTACCTCAAAAAAAAAAAAAAAAATAAAATAAAATAAAAAAAATATATATATATATATATATATATATATATATATATATATATATATATATATATATATATATATATATATATATATTAAAAATAATATAGATGTGATATGTTATTATATATGCACTACCGTACCTCATTACGAGCTTTGGGTCGGTCAATCAAGATTTTTAGGGCAAATCGTTCTTGTGTCGATTTCTTCACACAAACCCTAAAGAAAATGAAACTTTATAAAGTCTCTGTGAAGCATGGCGTATGAAATTTAGTTTTTTTTTATGTTTGTTCAATTATTACGTTAACAAAAACTTTACTTATTAATAAGGTTTGATTTTTCATTTCATGCCAGAAATTAAATTAAAAGTCATGATCCATGAAGACATTGTCACTTTCTTACCATAAATACACTCACCGGCCACTTTATTAGGTACACCTGTCCTACTGCTTGTTAACGCAAATTTCTAATCAGCCAATCACATGGCAGCAACTCAATGCATTCAGGCATGTAGACATGGTCAAGACAATCTGCTGTAGTTTAAACAGAGCATCAGAATGGGGAAGAAAGGTGAATTTAAGTGACTTTGAAAGTGGTATGGTTGTTGGTGCCAGACTGGTTGGTGTGGGAGATTTTTTCTTGGCACACTTTGGGTCCATTAGTACCAATTGAATATCGTGTCGACGCCACAGCCAACCTGAGTATTGCTGCTGACCATGTCCATCCCTTTATGACCACAGGGGACCCATCTTCTAATGACTACTTCCAACAGGATAACACACCGAGTCATAAAGCTTGAATCATCTCAGACTGGTTTCTTGAACATGACAATGAGTTCACTGTACTCAAATGGTCTCCACTGTCACAAGAACTCAATCCAATAGAGCTCCTTTGGGATGTGGTGGGATGGGAGATTCACATCATGGATGTGCAGCCAACAAATCTGCAGCAACTGTGTGATGCTATCATGTCAATATGGAGCAAAATCTATAAAAAATATTTCCAGCACCTTGTTGAAGCTCTGCCACGGTGGATTAAGGCAGTTCTGAAGGCCAAATGGGGTCCAACACAACACTAGTAAGGTGTACCTAATAAAGTGGCCGGTGAGCGTCTATCAAAACTTTAGAAATGTTTTATTAGTAATATACATAGCTGATTTTCTAAACATTTTGATTTTAAACCCATAGATTTCAACAATTTTATATTAATTAGATACAGCCAGTATTTTTTTTTAAATAAATAAACAGACAGACAGACAGACAGATAGACAGAGAGAGAGAGAGAGAGAGAGAGAGAGAGAGAGAGAGAAAGAGAGAGAGAGAGAGAGAGATAGATAGATAGATAGATAGATAGATAGATAGATAGATAGATAGATAGATAGATAGATAGATAGATAGATAGATAGATAGATAGATAGATAGATAGATAGATAGATAGATAGATATCTTATGTATATTGTATTGTCCTAACTATGTTTATGTTCTCCTGCTCCCTCCATTTCATATTTAATTAATTTCAAAAGTTCAAAACTAAAAAAGAAATAAGATGTGAAAGAAATGCCATAAACTGCACAGTGTCTGATTAAGACATGATATTTCTAAACTGAAAAGCCTTTTAATGCAAGAACATATTTTTTTAAGCTATTTAAGAACAGGACACGACATTGCTTACCTGACGGGACCACTGATTCCAGCTCCTAGCTTCTGCGTCCAGTTGATGTTATACTCTTCCAGGATAGACGTCTCCTGTAGAATAAACATCTTTAGAATAATATCTAAAGGCTACAGTCATGCTTCATGAAAAGTTGTCTTCAAATAGACATAATGGAACTAATCAGGGATGCTGGGCCAATGAAGGAAAATTAACTCAATTTAAAAGAAACAGAGCTGATAACTTGCAATAATGTAGTGAAAGTTCATGCAGATCTAATGTCATTGCATTCAATGCATTCTGCGACTTTTTGAATATAAATACAGCATTTTAAAAAACATTATTATTTTAAAAGCATGACTTATTTAAATAATTGATAAATATTTTATTAAATTGAAAAGGTTATGGGAACTGTTCGTTCTGAATAGAGGAACTATTTTTATTTTTTATAATTAAAATCTTATTTTAATGTCGATATCTTTTAACCTGCATTTACTTAAGTAATGACAATAAACTGTGCATGTGTATTAGCAAGCAACACTAATGTATGGTATTAATTAATACTGAATAACTACACTTAAAAAAACATTAAAATAATAACAGCATTTGTTTGTCTGTAAGCTCATTTAATTCCATGTACTTATTACATTACAAATATGTGTACTAGAACATCATGTGCTTTGTAGGCCGTTCATGAATCTCCATTGCACTTCAGACTTCATTCACCCCGGTGCAAACAGCGCCACTATGCGGCTCAGTCAGGCATCAGTGAGCGTGACCTCAGATGACTTCAGTCTCACATATATGGTCATTTCATGTCATACTCTAATACACCAGTCATCTTATCACTTAATTTTACTGCTTTTAAATTTAAATTAATGTTATTTCTTAGTGAGAACTTTAAGATCGCTTACTACATAAAATGAAGATTACTAGCAAATGTCAAGTTAATCTTTTTGATTAGCAATAATGGCATTTGAGTTATAATGTAACTATACAGAAATTAGTAATGTCCACTAAACATTTTTTGGCTAGCGAAAGTCGGTCATTAAATTTAAACACTGTTAAAAAATAACAAATACTTTGAAATTTATCTTACGTGGCATAAAGAATATCTGTAATTGTTATGTTTATCTTTTTGATTATCAGTCGTGAAACTTTGGTGATAATATAACAAACGTTACAGAAAATATGTACGTTACATATTCATCTGCAAAACATTTTTGGCTAGTGACAGTAAATGTTAAGTAGTAACAAAAATAAAGAATTTATAAATAAATAAATAAAATGATAAATAAAAATATAAATATTTTTTTTATAAATGTTATGTTCATCTTTTTGATTAGCAGTCGTGAGATTTGAGGGATAATGCAACATTACGGAAAATAATAACATGACATTTATCCGCTACATTTTTTGTGTAGTGAAAGTAAACCATTAAATGGAAATACTAGTAAAAAGTAATGAAAACACTTTATAATTTAGCTTACATAGCATAAAGATTATTTGTAAGTGTTATCTTTGTCTTTTTGATTAGCAGTCATGAGACTTCGGTGATAATGTAATGTACAGTATTGAAAATAATAACGTTAAATATTTATTCGCAAAACAATTTTCATACAGTCATAATGGAAACACTTTTAAAAGTAGTAATAAAATTATTTATACATGTTGTGTTCATCTTTTTGATTAGCTGTCGTGTGATTTGAGTGATGGTGTAACTTTACAGAAAATAACGTTACCACAAAACATTTTTTGACTAACTTACTGACTGTCAGTCATTAAATGTAAACGCTGATAAAAAAATACTGCACAATTTAGTTTACAGAGCATAAAGATTATTTGTAAATTGTATGTTTGTCTTTTTGATTAGCAGTCATGAGACTTCAGGGATAATGTAATGTAAAGTACTGAAAATAATAACGTTAAATATTTATCCGCAATAAATTTTTTATACAATCATAATGGAAACACTTTTAATAGTAATACAAGTAAAGAATAAAATGAAGTATAAATGTTATGTTCATCTTTTTGATTAGCAGCTGTGAGATTTGATGTAACTTTACAGAAAATAATAACGTTACCACAAAATATTTTTTGACTAACTTACTGTCAGTCATTAAACGTAAACACCGATAAAAGAAGTAACAAAAATACTGCACAATTTAGTTTACATGGCATAAACTTGTAAATGTTATGTTTGTCTTTTCGATTAGCAGTCATGATACTTTATGATAATGTAACGAACGTTACGGCAAACATTACATAGTTTTTGGAAAACATTTTTGGGGGCAGTGACAGTCATTAAAAGTTAACACTGTTAAAAACAGTAACAAAAATACTTCATAATTCATCATAAGAGTATTTGTAAATGCTGTTTTGTTTATCTTTTCAATTAGCAGTCGCGTGAGACTTCGAGGATAATGTAACGTACGTTACAGAGCGTATAATAACGTTACATACTCAAAACATTTGGGCAAGCACTCAGTCATTAAATAGAAATATATTTAAAAAAATAAAGAATGAAGTGATTTTTAAATGTTTATTCCTCTTTTGATTAACTATCATAAGACTTGAGAGATAATGTAACGATATCCTTAACTACACAGAAAGTAATCATTTATTCGCAAAACATGTTTGGAGTACTGTCAGTCATTTAATGAAAACACTGCTAAGTAGTATGAACACTTTATAATAGATTATTTACCTTTATGAACCTGTCCACGGTGCTGTCTTCAGTCATGATGTTTACAGTAACGTTACTCTCCACTTCTCGGCTTCAGTAACGTTACAGGTGCAAATCGTACCCAAAATCTTGCAGTTCAACTGAGTTTAAGCGCTAAGATGTCGTTTCGTGTTTATTTTCCATGCTGTCCGATGAACTTTGAACACCAGCGCTGTTCTTTGTCCGACGCGTAGCTGGCATTAAATGCAATAACACTACTGTCAAACTCCACAAGACAGTAGGAAAGAAAAAATAAAGACGTTTCTGAGCCTACACGAGCTCGGCTAACATGCGTTTCACAGTCAAAACGCACAGATTAGCCACAGTGGAGGTTACTAACCTCCCTAATAGCATCTGCTGTATATTGTTAATAAAATATGAGTAGGTAAAAAGATTAAGAAAAACAAAAAAAAGTGATGATTTCTCCTCTCCTCGTCGGGTGTCTCTGTGAGGAGCTGCTAGCTTTGAAGCTCGATGCTAATTCTTGCGCTCATTGTATTAACGTTAAGCGCGCGCACGATGGCTGTGATTGTGTGATTTTGTTGCTGGTCTGCCCAGACTTCAGCGCTTAGGTTTTGCGTTAAAGCACCATAAAGAGCGAACTGTAAAAGTAGGTTTATTTGCTAAGGTGCTAGTGCTACCTTTGATCCAAAGCTGAGGAGGATTGTTCTTCTCTAAAACACGCCACATTCTGCAATAGACGACCCGGGCGCAGTCCGCCACCTAATGCAGAGGAGCTCAGTCCACTACAACACGCTAATTACATTGAGGTAAAGTTGGTTTTATATTCAGACATTAGTTCATTTTTGAACATTGTCAACTTGTGACATGGCCCCTATATTGTTTATCAGTCAACTTTTAATATTCGGTCTAAAATAACATGCAAGTATGACTTCAAAACAACGTGTTAGTGTTGAAGCACTATTAACTTGACTATAAACAATGATGTGCTTTGATAGTTATTGGCTGCTTATATGATTTCTCTATTCAAAATTAGCAAAGAATACTGTTCTAAAGTTATATTATTAAGGAGTAAGTCAATTTTTAAAAATTTATTTAACCGGGAATGTCCCATTGAGATACAATCTCTTCTACAGGGAGCATAGAACAGAGTTATTAATATTAAAAAATACATGTCACAACACATAGATACACACAAAAATAGTATAAACTATAATCAATTGCAGTGTTGGAAAGAGTACTGAAAAATCATACTCAAGTAAAAGTAGCATTACCTGCCCCAAAATGTAGTGCAAGTAGGGTAAAAGTATCTGAGGTCAACATTACTCAAAGTATGAGTAAAAAAGTACTCGTGAGTAGTGAGTATTAAATTGTGAAAAGCTGATGCGAGCTGATGCATGCAGTTTGTGCAGGGATGTGTAATTGTAACATTCTGTAGTGCATTTAGTGATCTTCCTATATTTGTTTCTTTCAACCTTTCTTCCATTGTTTGTTTGTTCTGTCCATCCTTCAATCATTCCTTTCTTCATTTACTTGGTCCTTCCTTTGTTCTTACTTTAATTTGTTCGCTCTTTCATATTTTTGTTCCTTGCTTCATAAGTTCCTTTGATCATTCGTTCCTTCCTTCCTTAGTTTGTTCAGTTCTTCCTTCAATCCTTTCTTCGTTCCTTCGTTTGTTTGTTTATATTTTTGTTCCTTTCTTCATTAGGTCCTTTGTTCTGCTCTTTCTTGTTCGTTCCTTCATTCATTTGGTTCTTTCTTAGATCCTCCCTTCATTTGTTCATTCATTCGTTCATAATTTTGGTCCTTCCTTCATTAGGTCTATTGTTCTCATTCTTTCCTTCCATCCTTCCCTTAGTTTGTTCAGTCCTTCCTTGAATCCTTCCTTTTTAATTTAATCTTTCCTTCCTTCATAATTTCAGTCGTACCTTCGATCGGTCTTTCCTTCCATTTTTCATTCATTCCATTTAGTGGTTAAGGCTGTTTGGTGATTTTAGTCCTCATACAGTCGACATCTATTTTCCAACACAATCTCACGGCAATTCGTAACTTTTTCATTTAGTGGCTAATTCGTACGAATTCTTACGATCTAATTTGTACATTTTAGTACGATTTGCTCATCCCCCAATGACGGTTGGGTTTAGGGGTGGGGTTAGGTGCCACGCCTCTTTTTTTAAATCGTACAATTTCGTATTACTGAACCTGTACGAATTCATACAAATTAGCCACTAAACTGGCAAAACGTGAAATACTTACGTTTTCTCGTGAGATCAGGCTGCTATTTTCTAATCAGGGACATCCAGACTATTAAAATCTGTGCGACAATGTGTGTAAAGATTTTGGACGTCATCTTGGACATTTGTAATGCTTCCAAAAGGTTTGCTGCATTTATAAAGCGCCGATGTGTTGATGTTTTTCAGTATCATAGGAATTACTTTCTATGTCTGATTTGATTGGACAGAAATCACAGGACTGACTTTTTTACTTTAGCCAATCACCATAGAAAATAAAAAATAAAGTCGTGACTGCAGGTTGAAGGAAAGTAGTTGAGTAAAAGTACCGATACAGCTCTAAAAATGTACTCAAGGGAGAGTAAATGTACACATTTTTAAAACTACTTAGTAAATTACAATTTCTGAGAAAAACTATTTAATTACGGTAATTTGAGTAATTGTAGTTAGTTACTTTGCACCACTGATCAATTGTTAAGACGGATGGTACAGATTTCATGTAGTATATGAGCAATTCCATGCAATTTCCATTGTTTTCACCAAAATACGTAAACCATTTCTGGGTTTTTTGGGTAAGCATGTATTTTACAGTACTTTAAAAATACTAAAAAACACTGGTATTTTCTATAAATTACTATAGTATTTTATGTGGGATACTTGTTAAATATATTTCTGATCCACAAATAAATGTAGAGACTAAATTAATTCACATTTCAGTAAAATGAGATACACAAAACATTAACACATAAACAAAATGACATGTATTGTTTGTAATTTCATGATTAACAAATGCATGTATTTTCAACTGGTTTATTAAATTAAATCAAATAAATTTAACACAAAATGAGGTAAATGTTGGAAGTTTGGTGAAAACAATATGTAGAATATTTATGAAATAAACATAAAATGCATTCATTCATTTATATTTTTACTTTTTATGCATAATTATAAAAATTATAGTCTTTCAACTATTATTGTCACAAATAGGCTACATTTTTTTTTGGGCATGGGCTACCTTTTTTAAGAAAAAAAAGCAACCACTACATAATAACCACCAAAACATTAAAAATAATGAAGTCACACTGTTAATATTGGATTTTATTTTATTTTCTAATGCATATTATTACAAATGATCATCAGAAAAGGTCATGCATTGACATGCATTAAAAATAAATGAAATAAAAATGAAACAAAACCACATGTAATACATAAATCAGCTCATACGTTCAAACAATTATGCTGTTCACATGAAGTCTGAATTAAACAGAATCAAATCAATTTTATAAGTAAGCTCTGACAGACCTTTACTTTTAAGGAGTTTACCTACAGTACAAAACCTATTTTTTACTACACATTACCACAATATTTTCAATTCTTAACGTGGCAATTCGTGACTAAACAGCATCTTCTTTAATTGCTTTATTTATGAATTTTTCTGAGGAACCTTAATTGTAACCTGTAAAAGAAATACAACAATTAAAACAAAGACCATTAAGATATTAGTCCTCCCTCACACGTTTATTATACATTTATTATACGTTTCAACACATTTTTTTAGCAACTATTTCATTATTAGAATTTTTGTTTTGTGCCTTTGGTATAGTTATTTGTGCAAGTTGTGGGCTGAAATATTAAAAAATCTAATAAATGGAGTTAGCTACAATACACACACATGCATTCAAAACACTTTAACCATAGAACAAACAATAAATAAAATCTACTTCAATTTAACTCTAATCTTTTAAGCACTTAACCAGTCTGGAAAACCACTTTGTGCGAATAAAATTGACAGATAAACTATAAAAATATCAGTTTACAATAATAAAAACATGAAGAATAATCAATGTTTTATTATCTGATGGGAAAACCTTACCGTTTTGACCTCCGTGTAGATGTCCAGTCCATACTCGCCCAACTCACGACCAATTCCTGACGCTTTGTAGCCTCCAAACGGAGCCTGAACTCCGAACACGTTATAGCAGTTAATCCTAATCAAATAAAACAATTATACAATGTGAACATGTGAATGCATTTCGACATCAGTAAGCTCAGATATTTATATTAATAATTACCACACAGTCCCAGCACGCAGGCCATGGGAAATGTAATTGGCCTTGTCGATGTCTTGGGTGAAAACAGCACCCGCGAGGCCATATTTGCTGTCGTTGGCTCTCTCAATCACTTCCTCCAAAGATTTGAACTTCAGAATTTGCATAACAGGCCCGAAGATCTGACAGGGAAACCAAACTACATCAGTTAATACATGTAACTTGCACTAGGTACACTAACAATGCATGTGTTTAGTGTGTAGCGTATGTGCATGCATGCTAATAAATGGAGTATCCTTTAAAAAGCTGCACAATTATGCTAATGCACACATTAAAATGAGTTCTGAAGTGAGCTCCACACCTCCTCGCGAGCGATTGTCATGTCGTCCTTGACGTCTCCAAAGACTGTGGGCTGGATGAAGTATCCACGCTCGGCGGCTGGAGCTCCTCCACACATCAGCTTGGCTCCTTCACGCTTCCCGCTGCTGATGTAGCCCAGAACCTTCTTGAACTGATCCTCATCCACCTTTAGTGAAGACCAGAAATACTAATGGATCAATCTGATCATTATTGAGGGATCCATATGTTTTTTACACGTGTGCCTTTTCAGATTGTGCAATTTTGTTAACTTATATCAATCAAACTGACTAAACAAATTAAGTTAAACTTAATAAAATGTAGTTGACACCTGATTAACTTCAGTAAGTTGAACTAACTTAAAAACATTTGTGGTCATGCTTTTTAGTCATATAATTTTTAACAGTGTGCAAGCCTTTCAAACCTCATCAACCCGCAATAATGCATGCTAGAAATGATCTGTAATTACCAGGATGAGCAACATCTAATGTATTAGAAATCATCCCAGATATGAGATCATGCCAGAAATGAAAATAACACTTGCCCAATTATCAATTAAGGTCTTCTAAACTTATTAA